ACTTCACAGACATGTTTTGTGGAGCTCTGAGACTTATTTAAACTGGTTGAAAAGGAGGAGAATATGAGACCTTTAAACTGATTGAAGAGGAGGAGAATATGTCCCCGCTTAATAAAAAATAAACCCAAAAAGCTTATTTTTCAGAACAAAACTGGCACTGATCAATCTGAGGATAGCAGATATCTGCATCTGGCTGTTTCAAAGTAGTGTGAAAGCATGATCATAATAACCAGCCTGACCAACAATGGGTAAAATAAAAGCATGCTGAGACAGAAAGGTGGCTTGTCTTCATGTAATAGTTTCAGCAGATGGCTGTTCAACATGTCGCTTCTTTCCGCTGGAGGTTTCTGCATCTGGAGGGCCATCTTTTTCCTTATCACTGTCACTTTGCTAAATTTTGCTCAAGTGCTGTGGTCATGGTGATTCATGTTTGGTCGTTGTAAATAACATAACAAAGAGTACGGTCTAGACCTAGGCTTTATGCAATGTGTCCTGAGATGAACTGCTCAGTATTGCAAAGCTTATATCAAACTAAATATCCAAATCGAAGACATAGGTCGTGGAGGTCGTCGACTTCACTGTAAGTCAAATCATATTTGTAGTTTGTACACATTAGTTGAAACAATCAGTACAATTCAGGCACAATTCTCAAGAACACAAGTTTTTCTTTTTTTTTGTGTTTAGAAAACTAATTTTGATCATAAGTGGTTATTACAAAAAAGTAGCAACCGATAACGATTTTTGGGGCAGATACCGATATTTAGGAGAACAAATTGAGATACCAACATATTAGCCGATATCTTTCTTTAATCTTTTGTTACATTTATTGTGTTGATCCCTCAAATGCAGTTATCAAACACTTCATCATGAAGACAAGTCATTTACTCTTGCATCACCGCTCAACGCTCTGGAGAGTGAAATCCATATAGCACCCTCTGCTGGTGAAAGAGAACTACTAGTGTAACATAATGAAACTCCAATTAAAGTCCATTTGACTGGTGAATAAATCTAGTCATATCGGCGCATATCTTGCCATAAAATTAGTCAATACCAATAGTCACTTGATACGCTAATATCGGCCGGTATTATCGGCTGGTCGATTAATCGGTCGGGCTCAACAAAAAGGGGATTGTAGAAAATGAATCGAGCTGATGTGTGTAAGGATGTGAAATACTGCAGAAACACAAAAGTGCATTCAACGCTGCAGATGCACAAAGAACCAAAGACGCAAAAACTGTCACTATCAACACACTGTGTTGTCATGGTGTTGCAAACACTGCAGCTTGTTATCTTAAATATGTGACCAAAACGCCAAATGTCATAAATCAGAGTGATCTTAACATTCCTAACGAGTTTTTCATCATTGCCAGGAATTCCTTGATTAGCACACATTGTTTCTTTAGCCGTTCCAGTACAAGTGTCCCATGACTCCAAAATGTTCTAACAGAGCTCAAGCTGACAAGCTATAAAAAGCGCCAAAGTCCCTGTATGCCAGTAAGGCGTTTAAACTTCCTCCATGACTGTTTCGACTACCAAACCTTTCTAACTACACCTCCGCTATGCATGCGGGCAGCCGCCGCCATGTGTCGCGGCGAGCAGCTGAAGTTTTCAAACAATGCTGCAAAACAGAAAACAGGAGCACTCGTTTCCGTTCAGGCGCGCTGCAGACGTCTTAGGCAACAGGAAGGACCTGACGGCGATGTGTGGAAGTGCGTTCACAAGAGCAAGAGAGAGAGAGGAGGTGGTGCCGAGGTGTTGCAGTGGAGGGGTGGGTTTCTTTGAGTGTACGTGTGTGTGTGTGTGTGTGTGTGTGTGTGTGTGTGTGTGTGTGTGTGTGTGTGTGTCTTTAATGGAAATCCCCAGCGCAGGATAGCATGGGGTCTATTTGTACAGATGGGCCTCAATGTCTCTTACTTCCAGCCAGAAGCTAAGAGCGCCGCCATTGTTCTTTATGCTGTTTGCTTACAGCGAGAAAAACCTGAACTTAAGTTTATGCAGAGCGCTTTCTCTCCCTTGTACGGGACTGTGAAAATGTGGAGAGACGGAGAACCTTAATGAATTAATTTGTCTTTCCATGGAGCATTAAGAGTTTACCTTTGAGCTTTAAAACATCCAAACAGTTTTAAACTTAAGTATGATCCTAGTAAAAATTCAATGATGTTGATATCGGTTTTGATACCAAGAGCAACAAAGACAGTCCTACACACCAAATGTCTTGTTTTAACTTACAGAAAATGCATGCAAACTCCTGCACACAATGTCTAAATTGCACAAATACAATTTATTTCTGCAGTTTAGACTGAGCTCTATTTCTTTATGTTGCAGCAGCGTTGTGTAAACATGTGACAGAAATCTGATTTATTTTTTAAAGCTTTGAAACCTACAATGCTATCGATCATTAAACTAACTGAGAATGTGTTGTTTCAAAACCTGTGGTATCAACAGGATGGAAGTATTTCAGATTTTGACGAGGCACAGATGGTCTAACGGTTAGGCCGCG